AATAACTATGGCCATTGACATGCACTAGCCTAGCACCAGCGACCTCTCCAAATACAAGGACTGGATGGAATATTTTAAAAAGTGACTCCACAAGTCTCCAAAACTCTGGCTAACTAGGAAATGAGGTCTTATGTCCAAAATTCCGAACTGTCCCTTTAAGTTAAGGTGAAATAATATAGATGGGGAAAGACACAAATACCATGGGACTAGACAAGATTATTATAATTTATAAGAAAAAAACAACAACAACAAAAACAGTACATGACCAATATATATCATAATGATTAATGCACTCTTCTGCAGTCCAATGTTTATTTAAACTCAATTTTTTGGAGCTTAGGAGATAGTATGTGTTACTTGTGATTGTATCTTTAATATCACTTAGTATCGGGGTATTGATTAATCTTACAATCTCTCATTTGATCACCACTGCAAAAAAATCTTAACCTGTTAGAATATCCTGGTTAAGACACAGGTGGTGAGAGCAGTGACAGACGCACAAACAACCTCACAGCATTATCCCACTCAGAACTATTAAAAGAATAATGTTTACCATTAAACTGCATACCCACACCTTTGTTTATATAATACTTCACTCTGTGTATTAATAGAAATTGTGAACTCCTCTTGAAAATTCTGCTGCCATTATTATCTAACCCTGAAGTTTTGGGAGATTTTTTTTTTAGTTGGGAAAAAGTGGGATTTCGATATTTTGGAGAGCAATTAAAGTTGAGGGAAAGCAAGAAAAGTTTCCACCGCTCCTCTCCTCTCTGACAGAATAAAATCCTTACATAGTCAAAAAACAGCACCCAGATTTCATGTTGGCCTTATTTGCCATTTTTCGAGTTTAACATTATTAACCAGAGGAATCTATTTGGTATCAAAACAAGATTATTGCTTCATCCTTGTTACTTTGATGTCTATACAAGAAAGATGTGCTGTTTTTTGCTCTATACAGAAGCTAATTTTAGCTCATAGCTGGAAGTTATGCAGTCCTCAGGGAACCTTTGGATAAGTGTGCACACGGTGAAGACAGCAGCAGCTCCTTCATCACCTCTCCTCCTCCATCTTCTCCCCACATAAGACCAACCCCATCCTTGGTTTGTAGATAATGAGGTTTTAATGTAGCAAATTTGATATGGCAGTGGATTTTTTTCACATAGACTTATCTCCACCTTCCAGGCATTCCCAGATGGGCTGCCCTTTCACCTCGTCAGTGCGAATAGCTGAGGGGCAAAACCACCCCCCTATCCCGTCCCCCCTCCTAATCTAATCCCCACCACTATTTTAACTCGAAATGTATGCTGGTCAATGCCATGTCCAATGAATGACTTTGTGTTTTGAATTGCATTATCATAGAGAACAGTTGTATCTACGCAAACATATAACAATATGGCAATAAATATTATGAATAAGGATAAAAACTCTACCTACAACAGTATCAAAAGGTGTGTGTTCGCTGTGTTCAAGTGCATTGAGTTCACTGGTCTGAGCACAAACTCTGAATAGTGAATAAAAACTAATAAATAATTTAATTTGAATTTTACTTAGCGTATAAATATATTTTTATGGTCAGAACAAAGCCTTGAAGCTAGAAAGCACAAAATTACAAATTGCTGGAGCTTGCTTTCCTTATGAAAATTTAATTGCAAAACAGATTCTAAAACAAAATTCAGTTGCATACTCAGGCACAGTCTTATCAATTATCATCTTTAAGCACACAAGTTTATTATAAGACAGAATTATAATAGAAAATACTATACAATGTTCATTATGTTTAAAGGTGCACTGCGCGACATTTCTAGTAGAGAGTCCGCCACCAGCTTGTCTCCATGGAAATATTATTTATCTGGAATGTTCCACAGTATAGCTCTACCTATCACGAGGGAGACAAGCAGATCACTACACTACATTACAATTAAGATCTGTGGAGTGTCGCCCCTATTCACAGAAGGAATGATTGTATTTTTGAGCAATAGAAACACCTGAAATGAATAAATTCTAGATATGTTATGTTTGCTAGATGTGATATGTTTAATGTCATACCATGGAACATTCCAGGCAAAGCAATAACATCTCTATGGAGACAAGTAGGTAGCAGACCATCTATCAGAAAAGTTGCCTTTAATACAGTATATGCATATATTTTTAGTTGATGGAAACAGAACACTACTTTTTTTTTCTTATCATTATGAACTACTCATGTCTAGAGAAAAACACTGATGACCTGAGGCTGTTACATCAGATCTTCCATCTTCCTTTTTAGATCTAGCGCTGTCCAAATTTTGACAGGCCTTAACCGCTCTTGGCAAACTGGTAACGGTCAGTCACCTAGCACCATCCATCTTCTTTTTTTTTTTCATTGTTCTTTTGTATGTGAAACTTCTGCTGCCACTGCATTTTCCTGATTGAGTACTATTTTTGAAATTATTGTTATTATCTTGTCTTGTATACGTCCACAATTATCTTAAATACTATACCAACTTCAGCGTACAAGAATGCATTTATTTGTTGTATTGTTGTATTTGTTGTATATGGATTAAAGGGCTCATTTAAAAAAAAATAAAAATAAAAAATCATCCTCCACATTTTGACCTCCACCTTGTGATGTCATGTGGTAACACAGGAGGTGCTCCACTGTGTTTTTAAACTCCATATACCTTCACCAGAATCATTTGGATACTTTCAGCCCTGAACTAAAGGTAAAAGGTAATTGTTAACTTGAAAACATGACATCACAAGGTGGAACAGAGCATTTGGATTTTAAGAGATGTAGCTTCAAACGTGTGAATGAAAGAAAGAGACACAACTCCAGGTATGTTTTTGAGGAAGTAACAATATTTTAAAATGGCTAAAAGCTCACAAGAGTAAATTTTTTGTAATATAGGACCTCCAAAATTGCTGTTTTCCTATTAAGAACCAGATTTTTACTGTCTTAAAAAAAGTGGAAAACCAGAAACTAGAGCAGAATTTTGTCTTCATGGTAAAGTTAACTAGCAACTAGAATGTTAACAGTGCACTTCATGATTCTCAAATAATAAAACCTTTTATATTCTGATGCAGACACTACCCAGTGGACTTATTTTGACCCCAAGATCTGCTTATACAATATCCCTGTACTGGGGCGAGACACATTTTGCTGAAATACGTAGAAGACAGATGGGTACAGGGCCTTCAAATGAACTCTCAGGTTCATTCCTCCAGTGTGGCCCCTTCCCCCTCCTCTCACCTGTCACCACTATCAGTGCTGCTCAGGTCTGTTGTGATTTTTTCCACAGCAAACCCTTTTTATCAGACTGAGGATGCCAAAGGGGAGGTGGGATAGAAGGCAGAGGTAGATGGAGGTGAAAGGTGCTGGCCCTGGGGTTTAGGAGATAGTTCGAAGTCTAGTCCACTCTGCGATGACTGGCAGTAGCTCGTATACAGGGGTTTTTCAAGGTCTGTGCCACAAGTAGTGAAGTCACAATATATAACTGTTGTGTTACAAATAGCTAAAGAAGAAGAAGAAACCTCATGATTTAACACTTATAATTTATAATGTCATGTATAATAATTACGATAATGTGTGTCTAACATTTAAAGGTGCACTATGTAACTTTTTGGTTGGGGGTCTGTCACTTTTCTATGGTTATGTCATTGCTCTGCCTGGAATGTTCCACAGTATGACATTAAACAGCTATAACTTACATTTATTCAGTTACAGACTTTCAGGTCTTTCAGTAGTTTATGTTTTTAGGTTATTTTTTCAGACCAAGAGTTTGTTTTCATACCTGACATTTTCGACTGCTCACTAGCGGTCTTCCTCAGAGTGGTCACGTGACGTTGCTGTGATATGTTCGGTCAGCTGATTTAAACAGGTTTTGGCGCTGTCTTCCTACCAGTGGAGGCAGGAAGACAGCCATCTGCAGTCCCACTTCCTCGGGACAGTATCCCAGGTGTGTGAGAGTAAAAAAGCCCTTCGTCCCAGTTTATGGCGCTGTCATCACGTGGCCACTCTGAGGAAGACCACTAGAGAGCACTCGAAACTGTCATGTATGAAAACAAGTCTTTGTCTGAAAAAAGAACCTAATAACATAGACCATTTTATAAAAAGGTATGAGCTATGGTAAAGTGCATTGAGTTCACTGGTCTGAGCCCAAACTGAACAGTGAATACTATTACAATGTGAGCCTGTGAATATAATTTGCGTCACTGTCACAACAAATTCCAGGTTCAAGTGCAGCGCGGTTTAAGAATATAGATATTTTAAATTCATTGTGTTGCATTGTTTGTCTCATAGGTGTCAGATTTGGTTTTCACTTTTCAGGACAGGTTGGCAATTTGAGAAGGATGTGGAGTGTGCTCAAACCCCAGGTGTTCAAATGTGATAAGACTTGGTGACTCTTCGGGGTTTAACTGATGACTCACTCACCTCTTCAAAACATTCAGTGAACCGTGTTTAGATTCAACTTCCTGGACATGAAAACAGCTGTTTGTCATCCCTGGATGTGTCACCTGTCCACGTCATTCATTATTTTACACAGGGGCTCATATCTAGCAACTTATACCTAATATAAAGATATAATAATTGTGATTCAGTAAAAAAGAAACAAAAAACTATGTATGCAAGTTAGTGTTAGAAATATAGTCAGCTTGTGAACATTTTAAAGAACTGATAACTCTACAGGATTTGTTTGAAATTGTGATCATTGTTTGTCCTGTAGTACATGGGATCCTGAGCAGTAGCCTACTAGTATTTGGATACAGGTGGCATACCCTCCAACTAAAAGAATATAGAGATAAAAGATAATGCACCAGAAGACACGTGTATAATGTTATGGCAGATAGTATCCAATAGCTTTGAACTATTTATCTCTGATTGAACTCCACCTGGATTTCATCTTGTCTGTCCCTACGGCTAAAGCTAAATTTACTCTCTCCTCCTTTGAGTGTGTCACTGATGAAGAATTGTGTCTTGGGGCATTATGACAGTATCTCTCTTCCATCTTTCTCTGGTCCAGTTGCAGTCTTCGGTGCTGAACAGTTCGGTGATGCAGAGCGAGACGACCAGCGTGGTCCTGGAGGGGCTGAGGCCTGGGACCGGGTACGTGGTCCAGGTCAGAGCACGCACCGTGGCTGGGTATGGATCCTACAGCAAAGAGATGCTCTTCCAGACCCTGACAGACGGTGAGTGAGGTGCTCCAGGAGGTGGTAGTAATACAGTGTTACAGATTTTCAGTTCAGATTTTTTTTTTTTTTTACTGTTTTATAATTAAAAATGAAATAAATAAATTAAATAACTAAATAAAATGAAAAATAAAACCCTTCCATAACCCACCCCTCTCTCCACCTTCATCACACACAAAACAACACAAATACCACTGGACAAACATCGCTCAGTTAAGTTCAGTCCTGTGAAAGTTCATGTCCATTTGAAGTCAAGTCATTTCCAGAGGGGAGAAGCTTCTCCGGGGTGTAGTTGATAATAGTTTATTGATTCAATTAATCTTAGTGCAAGGAGCAGAGAGCTTTCACTTCTTATGTTTTGGGATTTTAATGAATATTGGTGTTTTCGTTCAAATAATTTTTTTAAAATCCAGAGTGTATTGTTGAGATTGTAGACATACATACATTTAGTTATGTGGAACCACTATCACTTGAAATCCATGGGTTTCAAGAATGATGAAAACATTTAGCTGTTGCCATAGCTATTTATGATTTAAAAATCAGATGAGATAATGGTGTTGCAGAACAGTTCCTATTGCACCCTTCCAAATGGCATAAAAGAGCAGTTAATATAATATAATATAATATATTATAATATAATAATCAAATATGGCATCTTTTGAATGATGAAAAGTCAGTGACTAAAGGAACTCACAAATAAAAATGGCCATCTGTTTATGATTTGTGATTTTGCGATGATGAGTAACTAGTAAGTTCAAAATGATAAAACTCAGTGTTTTCTTGTCAAAATAAAAATTTCATAAGCCAGAAATATTGGGGAAATTCTCACACGCCAACACGTTAACTACTTAATTAATATGAGAGATCATGGTTAAAAATGATTATGCTAATTGAAAGCATCAACAAGCCTCTGGAGCATTTTGTAACTGGGGCACAGCAAAAACAAATCATTTTCTATCCAAAAATGAACAAAATCAAAAATCAAAGTCAAATCTAATTATTTGAATAAATAGATGTTTCCCCCCAAAATGTATGGAGTTTAAATTAGCATAAATGAATACATGAAAACTGATCTGTTATGAAACCAAATACTTAAAGGTCCCAGCACCACCACACTTAATATACTACGCAAAATTGACTCTTGTGAGCTTTAAGCGTTGTGCAAAATTAGTAATTAGTTAACAAAACACTCCAGGTATGTATTCAATGAGAAAACAACATTATAACGTAGATCAGAAAATAGCATAATAATCACTTTAATTTGTTTTTCTAATTGTGCTAATCAAATCACAATCTGAACTTTTTAAATTGATAATGTAAATACTCCATTACTTTGTACAGCTCCATTTTCCAACAGAGAGAAGAAGGAGGATGTGGAGTGAGAAGCTGAGAAGTAATTAGATTCTGTCCTACTTTAAGTTTGTCTCCAAGCAGTCTGTTTATCTGCATCAGAGTTTTACACTGTGAGCTTTCATGTCAGCTCAACCACTTTATATTTGTAACAGAGGAAACATAGTCGAGAGAGCTGTGTATTTCCCTTTGAAGAAATGTTTACAAAAATGAAAATATTTACAGTTTGTTGTATTGTTACAGATGAGTACAAGTCTGAGTTGGGGCAGCAGCTCTCCCTCATCGCGGGCTCTCTGGTTGGAGGAGTTTGCATCGTGTCGCTGGTCGCTATAGCAATCATCTGTTCCAGGTACTGAGAATTACTGCAGTATATATGCACAATGAATATATAAAGTTATTCACTGATTAAAGTACAGTACAGTAGATACATTAAAGCTCATGCTATGTGATAAGAAATTAAAGCTCGTATGGCGTAACATGTGAATAGCTTCTGCAGATTGAAATGTGACTAAGCAAAGCAACATTAACTTTTTTATTGGCCGTTTTACAGTTAGTTCTGAACTGGCAGTTCTATGATGTGGTCCCCTATGTATGCTCATATCTGGCATGAAATGAACATACTCATCATTTCAAATGGATCACTTTTTACTGCAGTCATACTGACTACAATAACAGTAAAAATTCAATTTGACTGACTAATTGTTCACTTAGATAGATTTGATTAAGTTAAACATGTATAATTTACACTTGATTGAGCAATTCTGTCCCTCCAGCTGTAGTAACCCAGTGTCCAACCAGGATTATACTACGTTATAATCTGATCAAAACTGTTTTAAATATCTTTCACTGATTGTTTCACTGATTATGTTTTTTGTTTTTTAATGTGCTGGCTCTGCACTCATCGATAAACAACACATTAACACATTAAAATTGGAAGCTTGTTTTAAAGGCCCTATGTTATGGATATTGACTAATCAAATACATAACTGTAGTTGTGTTTTGTTGCATTCTCACATGTTTGAGTAATCCTGGATTATTCGACAGTCTACATCTCCAAAACTCAAAATGATTTGTTACAACTTGTGATGTCATGTAGTGGTAATTTTCAAGTTAACAGCTACCTCTTACCTTTTGTTCAGTAGAGATTGGGAAATCATGCAAATGATTCTAGTGAAGGTGTATGAAGTTGAGAACTACCTGCATTACCACATGACATCATAAGGTAGAACAGAGTGTTTTCTGTTTGGGAGAAGAACACAGAACAAAATATGCAGTGTTGTTTGTTAAACATTTGTGAATGAAACAAAACAAAACATGTTTATGATGAGAAAACAACATTATAACAGCCCATAAAATAGTGCAATGTAGGAACCTTTAAGTGTAATGCAGTGTTTTGTAGGAAAGACAGTGTGACTTCACATTTACATTGGGTTAAGCACCACCTGCAAACACACTGCATTTTTACTGAGGACTAAAGGTCACTGAGTTCTTACAGTGATTCTTCTGTGGCCTCAGTGGCCCGTGTCTGACTCACATCTGTTTGATATGTATCAGTGTTCTTCCTTTATAGATCCAGGCTTGTCATCTGATTGGCCACATCACCACTGCATGTGTCACTGTTTATCTGCTGCCAATTCAAGGTGCACTGTGTAGCATAGCAATACAAGCATCACCAAAACACTCTCAGTTTAAAGGTACACTGTGTAACTTTTCTGTGTCTTTCTTTGTTAATGAAATAATATAGTTGTTTTTAATATGAAAAAGTTAACTGAAAATTTGATTCATTTTTACCATATCTCCCAGCTCTTTGTTGCTTTAGTTGAAGTAGCAGCCACAGTCGGGCCATCTGCTTCTCTCCATGGTGAAGCAGTTCATGCCATTAGGCAGAGTTACAGGCTAGATCTGTGGAGAGTATACATGTTTTTCAAGGTATTTTCGATTAATAAAAACACTTGTAATTGAATAAATACTTGAAAGAAGTTTAATGCCATACTAGGTGGAAGCAATAACATCTCGATGGAGACAAGTAGGTTGAAAGGTTGCGGACCCTCCACTAGAAAAGTTACAAAGTTTGCTTTTAAACTGAAAGTCAGTATTTTTCCACCTGGTGATGCTTGTATTGCTATGCTACCCATCACAGTGTAAGTCAGAGTTTGAACTTCAACACCCAATGATGAAATTATGGGTAAAAGTTAGCGGTGACTTTACCCTGACCGTGGTGCATGGGCTGACTGTCACTCCGCTCCTCATGAATGCTGTATAAAGTCTATCTGCAGATGGGATCAGTTGGCATATTAACTATTACACAGTTGGCTTCAGTCTCAAATGAAAGTCTGTAACATGAGCTGACAACACAAAAATAACAAGTCATCCTAGACTAATGAATTCCTGATAGATTTAGCTCTTTGTGGCATTCTGTGGGACTATTATTTTACCTCAACCCAGATAAAGAAAGACGACAGCCAATTAGCATTTTAGTGTCATAACTTTTTAAAAATTTGATGTGATTTTTGTCTCTCCCAATTTCTCCCCTGTGGATGTAGGAGGAGACAGAAAGAGAGTGTATATGGGGACAAGCTGCAGCAGTACAACACTGGAGGAGGTATGAATACGTTCTGTTCGTAAGGATGTCATGATATTTAATGTGTGAAAAGCGTGACATAAAAAAGCTATCAACACATAACTTAACTTATGTTTGCTTATTCAATTGACAAGATTTTTTGGCAAATTCTTACAAATAATCTTGAGATGCCTGATTGTACTGCAAATTGCCTATAGGAGTACTTTTTTTTTTACTCCAATATATACTTTGGTAGCACGTTATGGTATTTTTGACTTTTCAGGCAAACTTTGTAAATATAACAAGTTTAATGTATTAATAGTAGTATGAAAAATACTTGAAAATGTAGTAGCAGTTATTACTAATTGAATTTGTTGCAGCAGGGCTCTGCAATTATTCAAATATTTATTGTAAATGGATCCAATTATTTCAAATTGTCATCTATATTTTATTCAGCAATATATCATACTTAAGAATGTGTTATCATGCAAAGTATTAATACAAAGAGTAGAAGTTAGAGTAGTAGTCATGCTAACATCAGTGATCATAGTACCGATAGTTATAATACCAGTAATATTAGATAAATATTTAGCAACTTTTGTAGCATTTCTAGAAGATATTACATTTTGCATATCAACATATGCTCTATTCACATTACGTCACAAACTAGGAAGACATTTGGAAAGATGCAATTACAACTTCTGGTGTAGTTACCGAGATTGGGTTCACCAACTAACTGTGATAAAACCCATTGAAGTAAATTTGATCAGCGGTAAAATGAAGACTGCATACGTGTGTGCTGTTTGGAATCATCTTGAATTTGGCATCCTCACCTCTTCTAATCGCATGTACCCAGTGCGCTCGGAGTTGTGCGCCAGTGGGGCAATGATGAAAACGATGAGGTATGGTTGTAATTGTTGATTAGCCAAACATAACAGAACACTGCAATGACATGTAGATGAAGAAAACTGTGTCTGGGAATTTGTCATCAGATCTTTCGAAACGTCTTCCTGGTTTGTGACATAAGCGTGAATAGAGCCTATTTCTACAGTGTACTAGGTTTTCAGAAGTTAATTTTAAAACCCGTTCCCTAATCTGTCTGCATGTCTCTCAACAGAAGTGACTTTGAGGCCGGACATGTTTAACGGCCCCACTCCCACTGTCACCTTCCCGACCTTATCTGAGGGTCATAGTTCACCAGGCGTCAAGATTTACATCGACCCTTTCACCTACGAGGACCCCAACGAGGCTGTGCGTGAGTTCGCCAAAGAGATCGACCCGTCCTGCGTCAAAATAGAAGAGGTCATTGGATCAGGTAGGAATTGTTACAAAAGTCAAAAAGGTCCCAGTTCTTATACCACATAATTGTTTCCCCAGACTGTGAAAGCTAAAATGCACATTGACAATCCATGCTCCTATTCATAGTTTTCAGCTTCCATTTATATGCTTTATAGTTTGAGGAACTATTTATTTCTTTTGAATGGGAAAACCTGTCAATTGATACGGCAACCGTCCTAATTTTTTATTTTTAACCCATGAATGGAAAGATATAGCCTTTACCTAGGTTGGTTTTATAGGAAAAGATGTTCTTGTGCAGCACTATCTCTTTTATTTCCATTTTAATAGATTGGAGCATTGGAGCATTTATAAAGCTTTGGCTACTGTCAACATGGAACCAGGAAAATGATCAAATTACAGTACTCAAATGGTAAATGGTCACATTTTATTTAGGGCTTTTCTACCTCCAATGGGCAATTAAAGCACTTTAGAAATTATGAATGATAATTGAAATGTGTTGGCTGGTTTTGAATGCCTATGTGGTATAAATGAACAATTAAAACAAACTATTTAATGTTTAAGTGGCATTGTACCATGATAACAAGTTCCATAATATATCCTCTAATTAATGTCCAGATTAAATACAAAATGTAAACGTAGCTTCTTTTTTTTGACATATTGTAAAATGTGCATATCTGGGCTTTTTAATTTAATGAGGCTGAACTGTCACATAACACAAAAGGTAATCTATGGGAGTGTATTAAACATTGTGTGCCCAAGACTAGTGTCAGCCCTGGCATCGGTGCTCAGCTTTTTATGATATTATTGCGTTTTATTATTTCCTTTGAAGTCAAGTGTCATGTTTTATTCATGAGGAAAACTTTGGCAAGAATAAATTAAAAGTGTCTTCAACCATTCATTTCGGATAGCACAGGCCCAAATGCAAAAACACTGTGTGATGTGGAGACACGCTCATGAAACAATTATGCCTTAATACTTAAATGCATTATAGTCACTTTTTAGCTATTTTAAATCATACTCATAATAGCCTTCTTTACATCTTATATATAGCAGTACATACGGACACAAACCCTAACAAAGGCTGAGGGAGTAGTATTTAGTTAAATTTCTCAAGTATGATAATTTGACAAACAATAAATAATAAAGTAGTTTTTAAACAACATATTTTCTTCTAGGATTGTCAAAAGTATTTATAATCAGATACTATGTGATACTAAAACTAGTATCGAAACTAGATACTCATTTGAGCTGGTATTCATACTAAATATGTCATATTCAGAGGACAGAAATTAGCCTTTCCAAAATAGCTGTAAAATGATCTTGAGCTGTATCACAACAAATATATGTATAGTCTAGTATACGCCCATGGACCACTCTGGAACCTACCTGGAAAACTGAGGGATTACACAGACACAAGAAAAAATTGTATTATTTAATACTGAAAATCACATTCTATTGTTAAAAGAGTGTTCTTTTAATTATCACTGTGATATTGGCATTGGAATTGATAATGCGTGTATTAGTATCAATTTTGAAATGTTAGTATTGTGACAACACTACTTACTACTACTCGTGTTGTATTTTTATAGTATAACAGTACTCTTACTCGAGTCAAAGTTTTGGTTACTCTTCCCATTGTGAGTAAGTCTATAGTGAGAAAGCTTTATGTAGACTTACAGTATCAAATAATTTGTCTAATGAGTCTATGCTTTGACAATACTAGATTTCATGCATTATACATTTATTTTATTTGTTAGGGATGTATCAATAACCAAAATATTGTGATATCATATCGTCTAAAGTCTCACAGTAATATTGCGGGCCGTCACAATATATAGAATTACAAGTTCCTTTGCTTTAATACATTTTTATAGTAACAACAGCTAATAAACTTCAGGAACTACATATCCCATGATTCATTTCAGTGCAGACAACATGAAGAAATATGTTTTTTATTTGAATTTTGGGGATTATGGCAGAAATAATTCACACCAAATTCTTGTCAGGGTATTTTAAATGCAAAATGTGTCCTATCTATCTATATTGCAATAAATATCGTACTGTGAGATGCATATCGTGATAATATCATACCGAGAGATTTAGATACTGTTACATCCCTAATATTTGTCCTTCCAGTTACCTAAACTTCATATTTTAAATCAGATGTGTCAGATTCAGACACTCTGTGAATAGTAATTTTCCCAAATATGTATACAGTTAGTCCTATATTTGTGCTTTAATCATGTATTTTGTATTTAAAAGTACTCACCTCTGTGTAGTATTTACTCTAAAACTATAATTTAACTTGTGCAGGTCAAACTTTCTCTTTTATTTAATTCAGTTTTGTATAATCCATTATTCATGTCTTGTTAATATCTCGTGAACTTTAGAAATTCATGTTTTTCACCTAAAGGCAAAACTAATTTCCAGAGCCAACCCAAAACTATATTTCAATGCAACCTTTTAAACTATAAATGCCAACTTTAAAATGAATAGCTCTTGTTTATGATGCATCAAATTCATGAACACATTGAATTCAAGGTCTGCAGACACGGAGGACATTGGCCATTTATCACTTATGGTTCTTTGACACTACAGTGCTAGAAGTACAGATACAGGAGCAAAAAATACTCAAGGAAAAGTAAACGTATCACATGAAAATATCAAATAAAAGCATTACAGTAGCCATTTAAATATTTACTTCAAGAGTAAAAAAGTAAAAGTACCTCATGCAGATTTTGAGGTCTAATAAAGCTTCAAATGTAAAGATGTTGATAAAGATTTGTGCTTAATTTGTGCTTAAAATGTAGTGGAGTAGAAAGTACAGATACCTGCTCTTAGATGTAATAAAGTAAAAGTAAAACGTATCCACTTTAAAATGTACTTAAGTAAAGTACAGATATAGGACCTTTAATGTGGATTGCTATAACACAGAAAAACACAAGATCACTCCAGATTGCTGCAGTGTTCTGGAAAAAAACAGGACTAAACCAGGACTAAAATAGGACCAAACCAAATCTACATAAGGACTTAAGTGGGATCAAACCAGGATCAAATCAGGAATCATGTACACAGCCCGTATTTGTATCTATTAGTCGAGGTGTTAGTTTTATCTTTGCTCTCTGATGTGTGAATAAATATGCTTTGTCATGCACAGAGCAGAGACCAGGATCAGATAAAGCACACTCCACCACATAACAATAAACAGCTTTCACCAAACCAATCTGAGCCAAATGTGCAAGCAGCTGTGTGCAGAATCTCCGGCTGACCGCTGGGCCCTGTGCCGCCGGCTCTGTCTGCCCAGCCGCTCTCAGAGGCTTCCCATAATCCTCTGCTCCTAGCTTTATTCTGCTCCGAGGAGGGCTTTCTTACCTGAGCCGAAGGTGGCCAAAGGGATCAGGGATATGAGAGGAAAGTGCCAAGTATGAACCTATATGTTTGTAATGCAGCTGAAGTGAAGGGTGAGTCTAAAACAAACAAATGTGGTTTTTGGACATTAAAGGGGGTATTTCACTTATTAATTGGGGTATTAATTGCTAATAAACAGGAGCCAACACATTTTATTCATTACGGTAAACTGGGGTGTGGTCAGAGGTAACAAAAGACACAATACAAATTAGGTTATTATTATAAACAAAAGAGGTCTATTCAGTCCATCAGGTGGTCCATCACACGGTGTGACCTGCAGCTTGTGCCAACATATGACAACATCCTGTGTTCCAATGTTCGATGTTACCATTTGTTGGTTTGAAAATAGTATATTTGCTGAAAACAACATTAAAGTTTGTGGAGGGAGCAGTCTTGTGGTGAGAGCACGGGGAGTGCTGCAGAGACTGGGTTATGGGCCTTATACCTAACCGAAAAGAGGGCTCGAATGGTGCCTGTGAGAGACAGCAAGATCACTCAATATGCATGAATGATTCAGAAAACCAATTCAGGCATTTTTATTATGAAAGAACAGCATTGCAACATTGTAGAAAGCTGAAAAAGTTGAGTTGGCATAAAACCCCTTCTTTAAAATAAGGTATTGAGATTTTTTCTATTTTAAAACATAAAGAGAAGATTGATGCATTTACTGTTTCAGTTGATTTGTCACTGTGTGCACTGCATAACTGCTCTGGTGGAGATTCCCGCCGCCTGCTTGCCCCCACGGAGATCTTATTGCTTTGTCTGGAATGTTCCACACTATCACATTGAACATATCTACCAATTCCAGGTGTTTGCATTGCTAAAGAAAGCATTTCCTCCAACATGTATTTTTATTATGTGTGGGCTTTCCTCTCCACAGATCTAACCTCCAATTTGGTGTGGTAGTGTCACTATCTTATTTCCATATTTAACACCATACTGTGGAACACACCTGGCAAAGCATCTGTCACATCAGTATTCAAGAGTAACAAACCAGGGAACTTTGTCGCCCCAAGTCTGGACAAAAGAATTGTAAGAAAACCAATGAAAAGCAATGCACTTTTGTAACTCTGCTAACTGCTGAATGCTTGTATCACTCATTGTCTGTGACAGATCTTAAACGCACCTCTTTAGTGTGTGCTCTGTCTGATTTTTCAGTTTACATTTCCTTTCATTCTGCCTGTTACCTGCACCTCTCTGTGATCCATCCCCTCTGGAGTTTGTTTGTTTTGGAGTCTCTGTCTTTCTCCACAAAGATCCGAAGGAGAGTCAGCAGAACAAAACAGATTGAAGATAAAAGAAAGGTGCACCCTAAGGAGCTAATAAAAATACCTCACCTTCCTTTCTCTCCCTCTGTGATCACACCACACGAGGCTTTCTCATAATACATTCAATTACACTCCATTGAGTACTTACAGGAAATGACTAAGACTAATTCTTCAAAGTGCTGCTGATGAGAGAGTGTTTTGTGCTCATTATGTAACTTTTCTGCTGGAGAGTCTGCCACTTGTTTGTTTCAAGAAAGATGCTATTGTTTTGCCTGGAATATTGACGGCATCAGGGCAAGTTACAGGTCAGATGTGTGGAGAGGTAAGTAGGAATACATGT